AAAATACTGTAAATTCTGCTGCTTGATATTTCCAGAATAACCAATAGTACCTAAGAGATAAGTTACTCACGCGAGCTTCTGTTAGCTCCAGCAAGAGCAGTTGTTCCCATTTTGCAGGCCAACAGTATGAATTTTACAATAGTTCGAGCCTCAGTTAGAGGTATTGGTGGAGCATTCATGGTGTACATCTGAGTTAGAATAGTGCTGGGGCTTGACTGCCTATGACCGCTATCCTTCGGAACCGGTATTACCGGAGCTGGAGGTTGTGGTAGATCTGTAGTTATATAGTGTAGCCTGCCTTTTTACAATGTCAAATATATTTGCTACCCGCGGGTCCTATCTCCATTTCAGGAGCAGTATCGATTGAGCACCTGCGAACTTCCTCACGGATAACGTCATTTGAGGTCTTATCGTTTTCCAAAGTATCAGACCTAAAGGCAAATTGTATTAGTGTGAAACAGAAGGGGGAACTTACAGCTCTGCAGCTTTTTAAGACTAACCCATCTCGATCGCAGGATTTGTAGTCGTAATTTATCTCTGCAGCATATTGCTTGAATAGCAATGGCAGATGATAGACAGCTATCATTTTCAATTTTACAACAAGACTCTCCAAAATCATTAGAATTAGGTCACGAGTCTGAAACAAGTAAACTAACGAGAAATAAAAAATAATAAAAGCACGACTACTACTATCTTATTATATATATTATTCTTATTTATTTATTGATGTTCATATTTATAAGCACAAAGTCTGTGTGCGCGTGAATGTAAGTGAGGGAGAGGAGGGGAGGAGGAGGGGAGAATTTCCGAATACAAATTTTTGTTTCTGAACCAATCCAGATCCAAATTCACAGAAATATATTTCGAAGCGCCGCGCGTAACGTAGGCCACTTCATCCGGAAACCCGATTGTATCGATCTATTTGGTTTTTGTAATTTTTACTTAGATAGCCGAATTGGTCCGCTAGGGGTAAGTTGTTATGGTGGTTTGGAATTTGGTGACACTCAGAAAAAAACGTTTGGTCGACTCTTGTTAATTTCTTGATTTTGTGCACTTTTCTCTCAGAGGTACTGGGAATTGGTGAATTGCGGTGTTGTATATTGATCTTCTTTTAGCTGTCAGCAATTAGCGTAAAGGTGTATGTTAACATGCTGAATAAGAATGTCATAGTCTTGAAGCAATTCGCTCAAACTTGTTCTGTCTTAGAAATTTCAAAGCTGAATGTGCCCTTAACAGAAAAAAAAAACTTAGTTCAAAACTAAGAAACTGATAGGTTTGAACAGTCTAGTCGGGTATGCAACCAATATATATGCATATATATATATATACTATATATATATTGCTAAACAATAGTCTGCTGCTAGAATACTGTTGTTTAGCTTCAATAGGCACAAGTCCAACAGATGCTCATGTGAAATAGTATGACAGCTGAACAAAGGCAATCATTTTATAGGCAACAGGTTTTTGGAAACACATAAGACGCGAAAATTACCAGTATCTACTAAGTCTATTACAAAAATCTTTAAAGAATTATGCAGTGGTTACAAGTGTGGGAACCATCAAATAAGGCACTCTCCCAGATTTTTGCAACAAAGAAGTATTTTTTACAACTTGCTGCAGTTTAATAGAACCTATTACATATATTACATGGTCAATTTCAAACTCTGTAACTGTACCATTTGCCTATACTTCTACCAAGATCTTGGAGCCTACCGCTTCTCCTTCTTTCGCATGTTTGGACAAACCTTCCAGTACACTGCTCAACATTCTAGCACATATTACTTGTATCTAAAGCATGTTTAGAAAGCTACTTCATCAATATTTTCAAAACTAAATCACCTGGTAAGGCAGTAAATTATCGTGCATTTCTCGGCAGAATACGAAAGCAACGCTGAAACATTGCAATGTAATTGAAACCTAAACTTTCCAAGAAGAAACTCACTGCGCAAGCATGTCAAAAGACAGAGAAGCACGCACATGATGAAGAAAATCAGCCATAGTTTGGTAAAAATAACCTCTGCAATGAATTCATGAGGCCTAAACCACAAAGTGTATGCAAAGATTTTAACCTGAGGTGATCCACAGCTGTGTATCCAGAACCGATAAGGGCTACTTCGGATAGCAAGCGAGGTAGAAGTTGAATAAATTTTGGACGAAGATCAGAGATGAAAAAGAACTTGAGTGTGATCAAGACATCTCTGCAAAATAAAGCAGTTAGGAAATGAGAAGCTATGCTGCCTTTGAACCAGTCACTTTCTAACGACGATCAACTCGGCTGGACATTGTTCCAAAAGGCTAAGAACCCCATTAATGAATCTGTCGCCGTTTGCCAGTATCTGCTCCATAAACTAAACAAGGAAGAATTTCCTTTTAGTTCAGCATACAGCTTTGATAAGACAAGAAAGTTGGGATTAAATGAATAACCATCTTTAAAAAAGTGTCTTACCTCGCGTATTTTCCCCATTATGCTTAGATAAGCAAGCATTTTAGACTGTGCGGTGTAAAATTCATCTGCTAACGTTTTGTTATACTTTTCGTCCGATTTTTGTTCACTGGATATTTGTATGCTTAAGAAGTCGAGACAGCAAAGAAGGAATTCCATCGCCTAAAGAATGAATTTTAACGCACAAAAACATGGAGGAATCTCTTGTAAGCACTTTTTT